CCTATAGTTGGTGGATAAAAGATGATCATCGCTGTGTACTCAGTGAACATAAAAAAAACATAACAGACGTCTATAAACACTTTTGCGACTATTTACCAGAGTTTATTGAGCATCATCTCACTAAAAAGCACCAGTCTGAGCAATACCGTAGTCAAAAGGAAAATCTCAAACCTGACAAAATTTTGATACACTTTGATTATTCACAAAACTATGTATGTGGTTATCAGGATGCTGTTAAAGCTGCTTATTGGTCGCAGTCTAGTATTACTTTGTTTACAGTTGTTATCTATCGTTACCAATTAAAGCCAAAATCAGTTGTAATAATATCCGATGATAATGATAAAACAAAGCGCTCCACTACTACTTACTTAAGTGAAATATTTGACCTCTATTGCATTGATTATATAAAAAAAGTTATATTATGGAGCGATGGCTTTTGCACTCAATTCAAAAATTGTTACATGGCCAAATTCATACAACATTGCTCTATGAAATATCATTTTCAATCTATAGAGTGGAATTTTTTCGCTACCTCTTACCGTAAAGGAGCAGTTGATGGTGTAGGAGGATCGTTGAAGCAATTTGTTTGGAATAGAGTAAAATCTCGTGAAGTTATAGTTTTAAACGCTAAAGACTTATGCAAAAAGCAAAACTTATGTTAGACTAATCAACGCAGATGACATTAATCTAAGGTGGGCCATTATAGCTGATCAAATTGAAGAAGCGAAAGCCGTTAAAAAAATTACCAAAATGCATTTTTGGCAAGTCAAAAATGGAAAGTTTTTGATTTCAAAGTTTTAACAATTTTAAAATTAATATTTTTTCTTTACTGAAAGAACTATTTTATAAGCTTATGTTGGGACCAGGGAGCATTAAGAGCATAAACCATTAAAAATTTAGTAAAGTAATAAAGTATAAATAAATATTTGGTACAAAGCCAGGTTTTGGTTGCCTATTCCAAATTAAACGAACCCAGTATCAAAAAACCATAACTGAGAACTTCGATAATGTTATAAAATTCATACTTTTACATAGTTTTTATAAGTTTACATGGTTTTTATAATTATTCATCTTTTTTTTTTTTGATTGCGTCGTTTTATTTGTTGTTTTTTAAAATTAGATTTTTCGTTACGACCGTCACGACATAAAAAATACAGAAATGTTTGTAAAAGTTCAAGTAAAAACTATGAAACTCTGCATATAATAACATCAATATGTGCTAAATGCACACAGCAAATGATTTTTATTTTTACCATGTCGTTCGCTGCATTTAGTCTGGCAGAGTTGTTTTGTTTAGAAGCGATAAAAAGTAAGCGTTACGACGGTCACGCTTCGCCGAGTTAATTTTTGAAAAAAGTTTAAGGCTTCAATACTGCAACTTTTGCTTACTAAATTATATAATAGTATTCCACATTTCTGGAAAGTTTCAAGTTGTCTCCATTTTTGGTTCATTTTTAATAGCTTAAAGAACGAAGAACGTCAGATGTAACGACCGCCACTCTCGCGGAATTGCCCATATATATATATATATATATATATATATATATATATATATATATATATATATATATATATATATATATATATATATATGTATATATATATATGTATATATATATATATATATATATATATATATATATATATATATATATATATGTATATATGTATATATGTATATATGTATATATATGTATATATATATATATATATATATATATATATATGTGTGTGTGTGTGTGTGTGTGTGTGTGTGTGTGTGTGTGTGTGTGTGTGTGTGTGTGTGTGTGTGTGTGTGGCTTATAATGTTAATTTTTGAGGGTTTTAATTCAATATAAACTATTGCTAGAATTCGTAAGTAGGAAGTTTTAATTCAGTGATGAATGTCATTACCTAATTCCTGTGTTTCATGCAAGCTATAGCTTGCATGAATAGTCGTAGTTATAACTACACAACATAAATAAAATACTATACAATATTTTCATATTGTAAATACAAATCATTATTTATGGTTTATTACATAATTTAAAAGTTTGATTTGGCATAAAAATTTAGGCTGTATACACAGTAATCGCAGGGGTTGAAAAATGGTTTTCGCTGCTCTTTTATGGAAAATGCAAGCAAGTAAAAGGAAGGAGAGAGTGCTGTTAGGAAATTTTCAAACAAAAAAAGTTTTTTTAATACCCAAAAAAATGTGAGTCCCTGGGCCGATCAACAACCTATTTTTTTGCCCGATTGTTACCCTAATGTTAACACATACGCCACAATTTCATAATATAGTTATATAAATTTGTCCGCAAAACAACCTAAACGGACCACTGTGGAGGGTTGTTATTCAACAATGTATGAATACCAATAATATTGCAATATTTTTTTGCACTAAATAAATGAGTTTTGTTGCCTTAAAAAGTTTAAATCCACAAGCCACTGCAAGCCTTACAGAAGAGGTGTTACAGAAGAGAGGTCAGATTAAAAACCAGCGCTTGTTCTAAGCAATCAAAGAGTGAAGGTTTTTTGTTCAGACAAGAGTATATAAAGTTGAGTTGTCAGCTAATAGAGGCATTTTAGATGTAAAATTTTCATGAAGATTGTTATTGTATATAAGAAATATTACAGGAGCAAAGATAAAACTTTGTGTTATCCTTAAAGTTACTTAAAATGAAGTGGAGTGTAGGCCTTCAAGAATAACTTTAATTCTGCAGTTAGAAAGAAATAATTTATTTATCTCAAAAGCTTTATATAAAGAAACTAATAAAGAGTGAAGACTAATTGTAGGATAGTTGGAAAGGTCAAAGTGTTTTCTAAAGTTTTTAAAAAATTGGAACCACTTATTTAGCACTTTTTAAAAGTTAAGCAAAAATTGAAGAGAATTGGAGAACACTTTTTGAAGACTATGATGGAAATTTTGTCTGGAGCACAAACTGTAGAAGTGTTCAATTGAAAATTAACTTAAGCATTAGAAGCTAGAGTGATTTCAATTTTAATGTTTAACAATGTGTAAATCTCTTTAACTAGCAGGAAGAGTGTGGCCATTAGATTCAAGAGTTGAATTAGAGTAAGATTTTGCAAAAAAATCTGCCTTAAATTGGGGAGAAGTTAAAATCAGACCCATGAATTAAAGATTAAATGTTAGACTTACTTTAGTTAAAGTAAGTCTAAGACTTACTTTAACTAAAGTAAGACTGTCCACTGTTAAAGACTTACCAAAAGTCTCTAGATCCTAACATATGAGGTAAGAAACAAGATTTATAAAATTAGAATAAAAGAGCTAAACATCAGAGTGGACCTTTTAAAATTGGTTTCTTGGAATAATAAAAGGGTATTTGTTTATAAGAGAGATGTTTTTGAAAAAAAGATTACTGTTTAATAAAGCTACTGCTCAAGATAAGATAAAAATGCAGAGTATGATGAGGCTTGACTTAATATTAAAGAGAAGGAATAGAAGCTTCCAAATTTTTATTCCAAAAGAAATAAAAGCTTCCAAGATGCGCTTTATGCATACATATTATGGGTACAAACATATTTTTGCTATTTATTTAGATGCTGGCATACAATATCCTTTCATATTTATATAAACTTTAGTATTTATATTGTGTAGTCTTTGCCAAAATAGAAGATAGACTCTAACACAACAAGAAAAGGAGACGTAAAAGTGTCTTATCAACGAATTTTAGTGAAGATTAAATTGGTTTAGGTATTAGCATGTAGAGAGGTAGAAGCTTCAGGAGAAAATGGTAGAAGTAAGAAAACATGAAGATAGTGCCTTATATATTGTATGAATGAGGTTTAGTTAAAGAAAGAAAATGCTCTAGATTGTTTATATTAGAGAAACAGCATAAAAGAGGAAAGCTAAAGCCTGATGATGATTATGATCATGATGGTAATGATGATTATGATGATCAAGTTGATCATGATGTTTATATATGCATATATATACAAAATATAACACGAATTTTGAAATAAAAAAATATATAAATCCAGCCCCGGCTCAACCCCATTACTCGACCCTGGTCAAATACCCACCCCGGTCATTTACTAATGCTTGTATTCTTAAGATATTTTTTCAAACTCACGAGGTACCAAAGTATATAAAAACTTATCAATTGAGCTACTCTTTATCTTTTGTTCCAACTTTATGTTAAAATAACAAAATAATGCAGCCAATGCAATATAATACTTTTACTGCAATATAATCTTTTTATTGTATTTGCTTTTGTATGTTGCAGTTTCCAATAATAGTTAAAAAGTTAAAATATAATTTATTGTAAGAAAAATAATAAAAAATTGGTGAAACTGCAAAATTTTTTTTGAATATGCTTAGTAGCTGAGTATTTAAAATGTCTGGCGGTAACTTGTTGAAAAGCTTCTGCAAAGTAAACAAAGTTATTTTATATTCTTAAGTTCTGTTTTTCAAAATCTTAATAATATACCTTTTCTGGTAAATTTTTTAGCTTGATGAGAGGTCATTGCAGTAATAGAAAAAGAAATGAAATTACTATTCTGACTACCAGCTGATATGAATATTTAGCAAGAAGGGATTATAATATCAATTGCTGATATGAATTACTGATTCAAGGAGTTCCTTAAGTTTCTCAGGATTTTTATTTGACTATATGCAAGACCTTGACAATTAATTTATTAGCTATTTCTTGCCTGTATTTTACATAAATTGCATTCTTAATGTATTTTTTTGTTGTGCTAATCAACCTTGTTTCTGAATGTAATGTAAATAGGCTTGTAGGTTTTTTATCTTTTGCATATTTTTATGGCAAAAAGTGTGTCAAGACAATTAAAAGTTTTACAAAAAATTAAAAGTTTTACAAAACATTAAAAGTTTTACAAAAAAATTGTCAGGTTGCCATAAATTTTTATACAGTTTAGTGTAATTTAATATACACTTTTTTAAATTGTTTATAGAAACAGTTTATAACTTAATTAAATTAGTTTTTTTTTATTTATAAATTAATTTTTATTTATATTTAGTTAAAAATTAATTTTAGTTTATTCAAAAATATGCATCAGCTTTCTTTAATTCTGGTGGAGGGGTTATACTAGCAGGAGTTACAGATGATGGTAATGTTATAAATTTATATTAAAATTGTATTATGTTATAAGATTTTAGTTTTAAAACTAGATTTTTATTTATAGGTGTTATAAAAGGTGTGGGGTGTTCATCCTCTGATAAAGATAGATTTCATTATATTTTTTCTGATGAACTAAAAAAATTTCGACCAAATGTTTCTGAAGGAATGTGGAGGTAAAAACTTTTTGCAATATAAATATATATAAGTTTATGGGTTTAAACAAATTTTAAAATATAAATTATATAGATTTCATTAATTATATTTAAATAGTAAATATTTAGTATCTCGGCTGACTGGGATTCATTTTGTGATTTTCTTTGTTTGATAGTCCTTGTGCAGAT